TATTTTAAAAGCATAAAGTTTAAGACTATAACATTGTTGCAGAAAAAAAGTTTAAGGCATACAAAATTACTGGGGATAGGGTATAAAGGACAGGATTTTAGCATGGCTTTGACTTCCAGAAATATTATGAACTCCTGTCATGCCATGAGAGGTTCCCACATAATCTGTGTTAGAATCTGAATTTTTATGGCTCAGAACCAGCCAGCAATGAACATACAGACTCCTGCATTTGCCAAAGGAAAGCATCACTTCAGCAGAATAAAACAGGCGATTATTCCCTAGCTCAAGAGACTCACGTAAGGTTGAATTTAAAGTTAAACTGCCAGGTGTTGATGCCAGAAGGATATTCTCCTTTCTCATTTGTGAAAGTCAGGCCCAGCTGGATAATTTTCAGAAGGTCGACGTTACACCGAAGGAGCTGATATTGATAGTCTATGGAACTGCGGAATTCACCAATTGGCCTTACAACCACCCCAGGAAACTCTGTGTCCTAGAAGAGAAGAGAAAATCTTATTTCACCACTTACTCTGTCAGGAGTCATTACTATCACTCTATTAAGCATCTATTCAGTTCCACACCTGCAGGTCTCAGCACTGCATTCTATGAATTTTCTGTAAAAATCACTAATTTTTTCTCCTTTTTCATATTCAGACAGATTTTAAACTGACAAGTCAGACACTAAACCCCCCCCCCACACACACACAACTTGTTAACTATTGCATTCATTCACTTATTACAGGTATCCATTCTTACAGTTTTGTTTTATTCCAAAACAAAAAAATGTTATAAAGCCATCCAATGTGCACTATTGTATAATCTTAACATCTCTCTCTCACAAAGGACTAACTCTCACTTTCCCTAAATCTACTAAAATGGACTTTGCTTTTCTTTATTCAGTGTTCTTTCATATTCTAAGTACAAGTTAAGCACTCTGAACATCTTCATTCGATACTCCAGACACAGCCCAGTGATAACCTTCACTGTTTTTGAGGAACAGCCAATGCCTACATTAACAAAAACTACTGCCAATCAAAACAGACCTTAACAACAGAGCAACCATCCATTAGGTGAAAAACATTTCACTTGGCCACTGATTATGCTCTATCTTTGCTGAAACACAAAGTTCCATACTATTTTTACTCTCAGATTAGGTCACGTAACTTCTACCGACTAGAGCGTAAGCAAAACCCTTCATGAAGAACCCAGTGCTGTGTATCTGACAAAATTTCACCCTTGCCCAAGATTTTTTTTTGTGTCCACTCTTACAGTACAGACACTAAAACAGGTTATGAGCACACTTGCAATGAGATCAAACAGAAGTAAGAAAGCTGGTTTCCCATTGACATACGATAACAAAAAATCATATTTGCTTACACAACTGCTTTCTACACTGAAATACTACACACTCTGCAGAAGCACGTGGTTTTATGCCACGCCTTTATTAAGGACTTGTCATATCTTGAAGTTTAGCGTTGCTAAGCAAAGTTGACATAACTTACACTATCATAACTGAAACCAGTTATTTCTGTAACTAACTGGCTCCTGACAAGCAGATACAGACTTTTAAGAGCAGGAAGAGTTTCCTCCCACCTGGAGGAGATTCTGATCATCTTAAACAAAGCTTTCTGAACACACTGTCATACCTACAGACAAAATATTTTTCTTCCATAAGAATCAACATCTGACCCAGTTAAAAAGGAGGCAGCCCAGCTGATCAGTCATCACTTGCAGATCTTTTGTCCTATGACACCATGTCATTTCCACAACCAAACAAAGGCATTCAAAGGACAAATACACTGGTGAAAATCTAAAGATTTAAACCTGGTTCATTTTCTGTTGCATAAACTAATACATGCTGACTAGTTAAATATTAAATTAATTCAGGTTTTTAAGGTGGTTTCTCTCTTCCCCATCTTTTATTCAATCCATACTCAACACTATTGTATTAAATTCTGTAAAGCTTCTACTGATCTGCTTTCTCATTTTTCACCATTTAACTTCTAGCTCAGTTTGAATGAGGATAAGGGGAAACAATTTCTCATTCAGGAATCAACGTATTCCCCTACCCAACACTTGTCTAAGGCAAATAGGTCAAGTATAAAATATTTACCATCGCAATGTAGCTGTAACTTAGAACAATCTCTCGAATTTTCCTCATCTCTTCTTCCAGGTTGTTCGCCCATACTTCACAGATAACCTGGCTGTTCTCTGCAAGGGCTGCTGGCATCTTGCAGGGACCAGAGTAAAGATAGTTGATGTTGAATTCAGATGACAGCGTAGAATTGCAAGCTGTGAGATCTTATCAGTGTGCTGCGTTAAACAGATAAATAAATAATGCTTTACATACAAGAACAAACACTCTGTCAGAGTCAGTCACACTTCTTTTTTCAGACTCAAATAGCCCATTTTAAGTTTACACAAAGTTTTTTCTTGCTTTTATCACCTCCTATAAACACACCGAACAAGAAGAAAATCTAGAACATCTGTTCAGGTTACAGGAGCGTACGCACAACGGACAGTCCAGTTATCTACAAAGAGTCCTTCTCCCCGTCTTTCTGCATCTCCTGGCGTAACGCCTGAAACTTTGGACACAAGATACGCAACCAGGGAATCCTCATGTTTAACGCTGTTCAGCTATTGCGATGGCTGTTAAAACCAGTAACAGAATGGTTTCCAGACCACACCTACAGACACGAGCTTCTCTGAGGGAACTCAGGCAGCGCTGAAGGTCGGTATCGCAGCCGCTGCTGCCGGCGGTTCCAGCACCGCTACACCGCGGGTACATCACCGGCTGTCCGCTGTTTCCTGCACCAACCCGGGCAGAACGGCCCCGGATCTCTGCGAGACCGCACCCACCGCCCCAGCCCAGCCCGCACGGGAGGTCCCTCCCCTCAGC